TCTACTATCTAGTCTTTAGATAAGCAAATTCACCTACGTCTCCTATTCAGAGCAAATTATGCCTAGACCTCAAGGAAACTTACTTAAAACCTTTTAGCAAGTTTCTTCAAAGTAGGAAACTTACTTAAAACCTTTTAGCGAGTTTCTTAATTAGCAAGAAATTTCCTCTTCCTGCGACCCCAGACCATTTTCTTAGAAAAAAGGTGATTGTAATCTTAACCCCTTTCGTATGCTAATGCCATCCCCATGCCTGCTGGAAATGTATAAAATAAACCTCTGCTGAAGGCAGAGCAGGAAGATTTGCACCCAACTCCGACTCCCGTGTCTTCCTCACTCCCACTCCTCTCCCCCCCTCTTGGAATCTCCGCACGCCGACCCCTTCCCATCTTAGGGTCCTGCCTGTGTTGCCTCCAGACACCTCAAAAGTTGGAGCTGGTCTCCGACAGGGTTCGTGTTTTGCTTCAGAAACAAGATCCCCTGGGCTTCTCATGAAGATCTCAACATCATCATTATAGTTATACTATCTCAAGAATGAGAATGAAAGAAAAACCATATCTGACAGAGGAGGCAGAGATAAATACACCAGAGGAACTGTACCATGAAGGTGATGTAGCTATTCTTAGGGAAGAGATACTAGTGTTGGTCAGATAGGAATGATTTGTGAGCCCCAAATTCTGATTCTAGGTAACAAAAATTAGATTTTAAGATCACAAAGAGTTTTCTGATCATTTGAAACTTTTGTAGAATGAAGTCTAAAATTAAACAATGAGATTTAATTTTAATGAGTAAAAATAACACATTTAAATTTAAATAGCATTAATCAATTAAGTGCCTTTTTTTTAGCCTTTTGTACTTTTTCTAGTTTACATGAATGTCAAATTTATAGTGAAAAAAGGGGTTTATGGGCAGCTCTTCCTGCTCACTTGTGCCTATGCAAGCTTTCTTTCCTTTCCTGTCCCATTTTAATAAACCTGCTCTTTCAATACTAAAAAAAAAAAAAAAGGAAAAAAGAAAAAAAAGGGTTTATATTATATTAAATCTTTATTTTGAAAGCTATTCAATAGAAAAAGTTGTTTTGGCCTCTCGCTCTCACAGAAAGACACACTTATGTGTCTGCGTCTACTATCCTCTGAGCTGATGACATTCAGGCCAGCCTAAGGAGAGTCGGAGCAGGAACAGGGCATAGCAGAGCTTGAACAGGCAGTCACAGCGGAGAGAGAGAATGGGGTGCTCACTGAGGTTCTCCCAGGGCCTGGAGGCTTCTTAGGGGACAAGCACGATTGCATTTCTACAAAGGCATCTGCAGGGAAGTTCAGGGTGATCCTGAAGGGTCTTTAAAACCTTTTGCAACTGTTGTTCATAACAACCTGGTGTGCCTGAGCACTCAGTTAATTGTGTTGAAGAAGATAACCACACACATAAACTTCACACTGACCTTGATAAGTCCAGGAGGAGGTTTTTCATAACTAGAAAGGAAAGAAAAAAATCCATCGTCAACCACATTAAAAGGAACATGATTTATTATAGTGAGCAAATGCAACTTCAGGCCAAAACAGAAAAGACATTTTTAGTAAAGGCTCAAAACACTGCATTATAAAATAGTTAACAAATGTGCCCAGCAGTCAGACACAACATATAGGGAACTAAAGCTATACTAGCCCCACTGAGATTTAGAACTTAAATTCACTGAAATAACGTGGTATCTTAGCACAAGGAATTTTTTTTGGGGGGGGGAAGGGAAAAAGCAGGAAAAGTTATGTAAGAAGGCCCATGAGGAGTTTATGGTTGCAAACTTTCATTGTGATGTCAAGTATTTACCTAGCATAACTCCACTTATTTAATACTAAAGAGGGAGGGGGAAGATGGAGGGCCCATTATAAGGTGGGAAGAGGTGAAAGTGATCCCTCCCTGAGGCGCTCTCTCCCATTTCCTCAGCTTGCTCAATTCAGTACTTTTTCCATGTGCCACCTGTCATGGGGCCCTCTGCTGCTGACCATCCCCTCTGCCTGTACTTGATGCACTTAAGGTACAGGGCCCCTGCACAATGGATGACACTGCCATTCAGTGAAGAATGCACTAGATTAAGTACATGAAGGGCTGTGTGGAACTTACTTTCCCTTTCACTAACACTTCTCAGACCCTGCAGTTCTAAGTATGCAGTTCATGCCAGTGCTCTCAAATACTTCATTTTCACTTTCCCTCCTCCTTGAAACTGCTATAAAAGATGCTGGACTCCAAGTCTGGAAAAATCACTACCCAATGCTTTGTTCATTTAAAAAATTACTACTTTCAGACATAATTGACATATAACATTGCCATATTCCTGGTAGATGTAATCATGCTCATGTTTAATACTGACATATTATTAGCTACTGTGTCAAACTAGTCAATCACGGGTATTTGTATTTAAATATGAATGTCTAGTCTAGTCCTCTACCGCCAAAAACAGTGAAAAAAAGCAGTAGGACAAATGAACATCTTACATGTGTTCTACGTGTCTTTTGGGAACACTGTACTGAAAGGGCATTTAGTGCCCCTCAATTGTGTTGACTCAAATAACTTGGAAACATGCTACCCAGATGCTGAGAACAGAGATGGTTTTCTGATTCTATACAGTGAAAACATCTTTCTTTTCTACCAGAAAGACATGTTAAAATAATGTCATTTACCTACTAGTCAAATATATATTGGTTATCCTCAAACTAATGTACAACAATCTCCAAAGTAGTTTAAATTAAAAAAAAAGGCACTATAGTACAAAACAGTTTTTCTTTTATTAGTATAGACGTGATAAAGGAAATTATACACATTTAAATACATAGACATGCCTTTCCATGAATAGAATTCTTCTGGAAGGGTACAAAGGAGGGAGTTTTATATTTTAATTACATTTTTGTACATGTAAATATACAACCTGAAACAATGATTTTTAGTTACATAAGAAAAACAAAACCAGTATTAACTTCTTTCTACCAATTAATCTGGTGTAGGCCCAGGTTAGTATCTTTTCGAAGAAAACAAAACAAAACAAAAACCCCAAAGGTAATGTGCAATGAAGAAAAAAAGGGATCAGACTCTCCTATTAGGGTTTCTGCTATAGAATAAATGCTGTATTTTTTTTAAAAGTTCAATGACATTTTTGTAATTGTTTGGCGAATTAAACCCTACTCTGGCTCTCACTAACTTGTTAAGTTTCCTTTTACCAAAAAGGAAGAGGTTCAAGAGGCCAAAATAAATTTAATTCTCAGGTGATACTGAAGGTTCTTTAGAAACTTAACTCCTGTATAAATAACCAGTCAGCAATGTTTATACCAGGCACAATGCTACATACCAGAAAGGAGAACTAAGGGCATAAATATCCTAATGAAATCTAGAAAAACATAAAAATTGCTCTCAGAAATGCCCATGCCACTCTTGATAAAGGCAACTTGCTTATTGGGACCCTGGCAAATGAGGCTGCCACGTGCCCTGTTCCAAGTCACAAATTGGCAGGCAAGTACATCTGTGCTGAAGGGAAACCCTTTGCTGTCAAGGAAACCTAACACTGATCACAACTCAGCTTTAACTAGTGTGTGAGCACCCCCTAGACCCCAAGACAGGAACCCCTTCCTAACAAGGAAATCCCCCTGCTTCCCAGTTGCCTCTTCTAATAGTCTATAAAACATACTCTTGCTCCAAATCCCTTGGGGACATGCTTCACTGATTGGGAGGCTGTAGCTCCCCAGCCCAAGAACTGTCTTCCCTTAAATAATGGACCTTAAACTTGTTACTAAATTCTATTGGTTTTCTTATTTGACACTCTTTATAAAACTGTCCTGATAAAGGACAGTCTCGAAGACCCTGAATTCCAGCTGGAACACTTACTTTCCATTTCCAAATCTTCCAAATGAGTGTGACTGGGCTTTGGAGGTCAACAAAATTTTTGATTTGAATTGGTCCATTCTCACTGCTGGGTATTTTGTGCAAGAACTTAACCTGAGTCTCAATTTCCCCCTGGGTCAGTATTTCACAGTACATTTGTGAAAGGCACGGTTTCTGCTGCTGATGTTGAAGGGAGGTGACACCCTTGGCAACTTCTTGTGGTAGCTCACACGGGAGCCCTCGTATTAGTGGGGCCAAAATCCAGACACCCTCAGCTACCCCCTGACAGGTCCAGGAACAATCCAGAGTTTGAATACTATTTGACTCACACACCCACCCGTTCTGAATCTACTTTTCCCTAGTATTTTCTCCCTCTGACACTGCAGGCTGGGGCATCTAGCCCACAGGAAAACTTGCACCACTACTGCCTCACACAGGTTAACTGAGAAGACAGCGGAGCCCTGGTTAAACAGGTGGAAGTTCTCAGGGCCAATTAGGATGACAGCTAAGAGATCGGCTGTCACCAGAGTCAATATTCTGGGTCCAGAATCCATGGCGTACATTGCCAAATTGCAAAAGGTAAAGACTAAAACATCTGCCACCAAATGCTGAGTTTATATTGGTGCATATTCTCTATAAAAAATGATAAAACTGGACTCTCCCTGGTGGTGCAACGGGTTAAAGCACAGCACTATGACGCTATTCACAGCCACTAAAGCATGAGTTCGATCCCTGCCCCAGAGGTGACCCACGTGGCACGGCAGACCTCTCCTGTCTCGCCCGCTGCTCCTTTCAGCGGTGTACTTTGTCATTCTGCCTGTTTGCTCCCCACTCTGTCTTTGGTGAATCCTTTCACCCTCTACACCTCTGGGCCTGTACCCCAGTTCTGTATGTATAAATAAATCTTTTTTAAAAAATGATAAAATTTCTAAAAAAAAAAAAAGCCATAGGAATGGCATCTTTTGTTATAATACATAATTTTGTTCCCAGTTCCTGCAAAAGCTCCATAACTACAAAGGCAAAAAGTTTCTTTTATTATTCATAACAAATCCAACCAACCATATGGAGTTGAACTAAATAAAACAACTTTTGGAAAATCCCTAAGACTTGCTGGGGAACTAAGCAGGTGAGTAAGGGGTTTGAATTTGCACCCCACCTTCAGGGAGGCTGAACTAGTCACCAGAGGGTATGTAGTGAAACCTCCACAAAACCCAGTAAACACGTGCATCTGTGGCACACCTAGAGGGAGTGTGGGAACTCTGTGCCCCTCCCACATACCTTGCTTATCTGGCTGTTCCTGATAAAAATCTTCATAAAACTTTATAAAAATCTGGCCCTCCCTGGTGGCGCAGTGGGTTAAAGCACAGCACTAAGAAGCTGAAGCCACTTCCGCATGAGTTCGACCCCCGCCTGCCCTGGAGGAGACCCACATAGCGCAGCAGACCTCTCCTGACCCACCCTCTGCTCCTCTCAGCAGTGTACTTTTTCAGTCGGCTTGTTCTGTTCCCCACTCTGTCTCTGGTGAATCCTCTCACCGCCCCTGCACATCTGGCCTGTACCCCAGTTCTGTATGCATAAATCAATAAATCTTTTAAAAAAAACTATAAAAATCTTTTATAATAAGCCTGTAACTTAGTAAGAAAAGTGTTTGTGTTCTGTCAGCCACTCTACTAAATCCAATTTGTAGACAGTCAAAAACAAAGGTTATCTGGACTGAGCCTGGCATCAAGTCCAATCTGTGTGGTGTATGTCTGCAACTCCTATTCTACTGAGCCATTAACCTGTGGATTCTGCTGCTATCCCCAGGTATACAGCCTCAAACTGAGTTAAACTGGTAAGATCGCTACATAATGTCCTCTAAGAATACAAGTGCATTGTGCTGGAAAAACCCCACACAGTTGGAGAACAAAGTAATATACTGTTAGTGTAGTTTGATTGCAGAGAAGGAAAAGCCCCACCCTCCCCCTTCACAGTGAATGAAGGGTGAGAAATGCCAGGAGTTGCTACAGTAAGAAAGAGTTCCTTTTGCTTTTATCTCCAGAACCTTCCATATAAGTTTCTCTGCTTTCATTCTCACCATCACTAACTCAGAGTTATTTGAAAGGACCAGGGAAGAGCTTACTCCTTGAAGACTACATAGGAAACAACTGGGTATCACAGAGTAGCTTGTTAGGTATTGTCTTTCCAAAGCAAATACTTGAAATAACTTCCAGTGGAAAGCTGTGGCCTATTATAGGCCTTGGCCTATCTTAGTGAGAACAGTGGAAATGTGCATGAGTCGGGAGGTTGATAGAGTCCATCTGCAGCCAGTCATTAATAAAATTATGGGTGCCTGACAGTACAATCTGTAAGTCCAATAACCCAATAATATTTCCTTTGAGCCACAAGAGTTGTATAAACAACATATGGACAATCAAATTGAGATTCATATTCCTGAAAATCATGTAATTGTTGCCAGGATGAAAAAGAATGTGATGGAACTACACATTTTTAAATCTATTATTAGCTATGGCAGTCCCAGTAATTTCTAACAAGTTACAACTATTTTTGCAAGCTTAAAGGAAGGAGGTTAATGTTTTTTTCTAGGGCTAACCAATTCATTAATTTAGCAATTTTAAACATAATTCTCAAAATTTAAAGAAATTAAATATTTAGTTACTAAACACCACAGATTTGGAAATAGGAATATATTTATGTGTAGCTTATCTTTGGTGTTATGACTTCGTAATTGAAACAAGTTCGTGGAGGCTCATTATTTTGTACAATTGTGAAGCCTTGCTTTTCTCTCATTCAGACTATAAGAAGTTGCAATATGAAGACTAAATTTAGATACAGGAAAAACATCCTCCCAAGTGGGCACAGGGTAAGAAATCATTATTTTGCCAAGTACTTAAAAATATTTTGTTTTTGAGTGCTGGGGTAAGATTTCTTTTGGAAGGGTCCTTCATGTAAGCTTATCCCATTTCTATTATTCCTGCAGCTAACTCCTGGGTCTGGAAAGTAGAGTGTAAACTGCCACACAGCCACAGGCTCTTCATTCTGTTAGCCTGGCAGCCCAGGAGGAGTGGAGCAGCAGGGAGCGAGAGCATGGGCTAGCTCATGGATGGAAAGCTCAGGTGCCTTCAAGGGCCTGGAACCAGAAACAAAGGAGACACAGGTGAGGCATGTAAAAACAAGGAGGGCATAATAAGGAGTTAAAGAATCTGAATTCAATCTACACAAAACTTGAATGGGGCTGACCAACTTACTGACAGTCTTTCTTTCCCAGTCTTAAAATGACAGCAAAGGAAGAAAAGAGGTAAAAAGTCACAAAGAGGCCCTCTCTGGTGGTGCAGCGGGTTAAGGCACTGCACTAAGAAGCTTAAGCCACTTCCGCATGAGTTCGATCCCCGCCTGCCCCGGAGAAGATCCACATGGCGAGGCAGACACCTCTCCTGACCCGCCCGCTGCTCCCCTCAGCAGTGTACTTCATAGATCGCCTATTCTGCTCCCCACTCTGTCTCTGGTGAAGCCTCTCACTGCCCCTGCACCTCTGGCCTGTACCCCAGTTCTGTATGAATAAAGAAATAAATCTTTGAAAAAAAAAAGTCACAAAGAAATTGTGAGAAAACATAACAGCAAGAAACAGTTTCAAGACAAGTTGGGAAGATAATGGAAAGTAGTGGACTTCTATGTTAAGTCACAATCTTTGAAAAGTGGGAGTTGGGACTATGAATACTGAGTGGACAGAAACGGGAATTCTCCTCCCCACATCTAGGACAGTGCCCTCACCTAGGAATAGACTGTAGGATTTGTCCCCAGTGAAACTTAACTGGAGAGGGCCCAATTGTATGGGAATTATTAGCACAGCTCAGGTGATCACTGGCTGACACAGTTGAGTCTCAGCTGAAATTTCTAATAGTAATGTTAATACTGACTACTGGTTTAACAAAAAGTATAATGGACTATGTGGGAAAGACAGAGATAATCAGGGTAGAGAAAGAGAACTCATCTACTATTATATGAGGTTAATAGGTAATTCCTATTGTTAAACTGAAAAAAAAAAAGCCATACAAATTATTTAGAAATAAGTAGAGATAATAAATCACAGAATAAAAAACTGAAAGTTTCCTCACTGACCCCTCTGTTGGAAGGAGAGGTGCAAGAAATATGTGGGGTGACTGGAGTCTCTTAGTATTATTTAATGTTTAATCTACGTGAAAATAGTTCTCCAGAGATGCAAATTTTATTTAAAAGCAAACAAGGCTCTCCACTACCCAAACCAAAAAACATCAACATTCAAGAAAGTTTTAAATCTGGGGACTAGACACTTGGGTTCCTCTTTATTTTTGCTAGTACACTGGATGTCCGCTTGATCAGATTAGGTAGCCCTTGAGGCTGCATTTCCTTATCTAAAAAGGAACTTATAAGGTGTCTGTGAGCTATGAAATGAATGTGTAATATTAACCTTGTCTGGCAACCTACAGTTCAACTGAGGACTGGGTCTGGATGAACCTGACTGATTTCATCCTAGGGAAGGTGTTTTGAGCATCTGCTTAGTAAGAAGGCCACCCAGTGCTGAAGGGAATGGGCCTTGGGCCCACCCTGCAAGGCCTGCAACCACTACCACATTGAGGTGAAATTCAGTCCCAGGGCCACAGTGAAATGGGCAGACCAGGCTCCCACAAAGGTGTGCATGTTGTGTCAAAGCTCCCAGAGGGTTAGGAAGGGTTTGGCCTTTTCATAGGTAATGAGAAGGGTCTGAAATAGAAACGAATATACATAATAAATCTGATCTCTAAAGCTAAATACTGCAGGACAGAATCTTGGGAAGGAACTCAAATGTCATTAATCCAAACTCCCAACTGATGTTTAATTCTCCTTTACAACATGCCCTTCACCTTCTGCAGCTGGGGTGCACTGTGCCTCCTGTAAGGTTAAACTGAGCAACAAGAATCCATGACTGTTGTTCTAATTCTTCTCCTTGCAGAGCGGAAACTGGTCTTTTCCTACATCCCACCTTAATCGTATTGCCATCTGCCCTCACCTCCACCTGACAGTCACCTTTCCAATATTTAGGGGCAGCTCCTTGGCCTCGCCTTTTCCCCCTTTTCAGCACACTACCGTCCCAGGACCTGGCTTTTCTCTCCTCAACAGCAGCGGATGAAAAGAACCGGCTGAGACGGACCCAGTTCACCGAGGACCCTTTGAGTGAAAAGTGCGAAAAAGACCTAGGCACTCCCGCACGCATCTGACCCCCACATTCTAACTTGGGGCCCACACGGCCCTCGCAGCCCAGGGACTAAAAATCGTCGCCTCGGGGGCGCCCCGCCGCGTGCCCAGCGGGAGCCCCGGGCCGAACCCCCG